GAGATTATTCCTATTCGACCATAAATTCACTACGCGGCCACCCGTGGGTGGTACTTTTTAGATTTTGAAAATAGACCCTTAAAATACATTGTTCATGAATCAATATTAATCTTATTAAGTTTAAAAGAAATTCTTTCATGACATGAATAATTCATCTTCTTAATTAAAATAGAATATCAGTGTAATTATTGAGCTAATAATTAATTTATGCTTAGTCCCTTTGCAAGAATCCACATGTTTCCTAATTAATAAATTAATGGATGAGTCGTTGGAATATATTTGTACTTTTGGAATTTATTTATTTTAAGAATAATCTTAACCAATTAGGCACAAGGTAATCCATGTAACCCCATGTAACCCCATTAAATAGAGTATGTAACCCCATTAAATAGAGTATGAAGTTTTGTGATATCATCTACCATGATATCTTGTGTTCGAACTTTTGGTAAGTTTAAGTAATACTAAAAACTCTTCATATCTCCTGGATTTGGGTCTTGAGACGGGCACATAGTACCCCATTTTTAGGCATGTAAAAAGCTGAATAGCTATCGATTTTGAAGTTATTAAAAAAATCTTAATCAATTAGGTAGTTTACTAATTACCAAATTTTTATTTATTGTTTTCTTCGAGTTCAATAATAATGACGAGAAGATCAAACATACGAGAAACATACGGCGGCACTTGGTGGCCCCGACATTTTCATATGACTTGGTTGCACCATCTGGAAGAATGAAGACTATCCTAGATTATCCCTACTTTTTAGCATGCTTGGTCCTTATTACATGTTTATCAATAAAATTAAATTTCCTAGGAGTTCATAAAAAAATAATTAACCATGCTTGTATGATCTTAGGATTCTTTTTATTCAAATGTGGTGTTGATTCCTTCATGTACAGTTATATAAATAAATTATGAAAGTGGTTATCAAATGTATTACCCACCATAAGATCATATTAATAACCACCATTTTATTGTCAACATGAGCGTAGATCAACCATTAGAGATACTCCTGATATCCTTAACAAAATCAGGCTGTGTCAAAGGTTTTTTTTTCTTTAGTAGGAAAGGTTTAGTTATTAATATCACGACAAAATATTAATATTATAATGTTATTTTATGCCAAAAAAATCATTTTAATATGAATTGATGAATTCCCTCCTCTTTGCGTAACCATTTAGCCTATATCTTGTGACATAAATCAAGAATCATTCATTCTTTTTTTTTTTTTTTTGCTGCTGAAAAAGATCACAAATATAATAAAATTTTGTTTTCTTGTAAGATACAATTTGATAATTGTCGTCCCCTTAATCTTTTGCTTCAATCTCTCTCCATTCAACTCAAATTATTCCGACTTAATTTGAAAAGAACTTAATTGTACTATAAGCAACTAATTTTGTCTCCATTAATCCTCACAGTCAACAAACCAATTTTTATTATTACAGCCTCATAGAGTTAGTATAGTTTAAAAAACATCTAAATTTTATTCTGGTTTTGGATATTCAATTTTGTTTCCAAATTTTGCAAATTTAACTACATAAAATAAATTAAATTTGTGTTTAGAATTATATAATTTATGGAGGAAAAAATATTTTTTAAAGATATAAAATGAAAATCAATTTTAAATTTAAAAGTTTCAAAACTAAAAAGACAATGAAATATGTGACTATCACATCAATTTTAAAGGTAAATCTCATAAGTATTATATTAGCCTAATAATAAATATAAAATATTCATAACTCATTTTCATCTCTTTTGATTTTTATTTCAAAGATGGAATTATCTGAATCTGAGATAAATATTTTAAAGCAATTTATTTTAATATACGACATTTCCTAAATTATACTAAAGAGATAAAAGATTTATGGTAGTTGTAGAATATTTATACTCTCCCTTTCTTTTTCAATAAAATCCTCTATAATGTTTATATATTTTAATAATTTCATTTAAAAACAATTTAGAATTTCCTTAATTATAATAGTGGACGTGAACATTTGGTTTCTATATTTTATTATAGGGTAATTTAAAAAATAATCGTAGAATTTTATGGGCTTCGTTTGGTCTTCAAAGCTAGGTGTGCATTTGAGAATTAAAATTGCATGGGATTTGACAAATTCGCACCGGTGACAACCGTCATGTCGTAAAGTACGCGTGCACCGCATGGGATTTTTCAACGACATCAATTTTATGAATGTCGTCAGCAAAAGTAAGGCGTAGAACGACACTTCCATATAATTCTCAAGAAAACGATGCTTCTGTAAGTCTTGCCATCGTAAGTTTTTTTTTTTTTTTTTTTTTCCCTTCCTTCTCTCTAGTTTTTAATCCTACCTTACGGTTTAAATAGAGATTATAGAAAATCTGAAATAATGTGACTCATAATTTTGCATATAAACGTACAAAGAAAATTATGAATAGTTATTACATCTCATTGTTATTAGGAGGTAGTCACAATTGTGATGGCGAAATTCAATAACTTTTAATTTGATCCAACACTTAAAGAGTGCAATTGAGCGATCTTAACAATGTTTTAGACAAAATAAAGTAACACTGTGCAAGCTAGCAAATTTATTTTTTAAATTATCTAATCATCCCTTTCTTTTCTGATATTTATATCTTATATTGTGTCAAATTAGCCTATATTTGTCTAATAAAGCATATCATATTACATTTAGATATATAAATTTCAAATTTTGAATTAAGGTCTAATTAATATTAGGGACTCAAATAGACACATAATTTCAAAATTATTAATCAACATGAAAGTATTATATCAAGTATATGATTTTTCATGTCAATTCATATTAGTGCTACATCAATTTTAATTTGTATCACACATTTAACACTACTCATTAATAAAAAGTGTGATTATATGATTTATTAATTAATGTAAATAGAGATTTGAAATTGAAACCTTACAAGCATAATTAAGCTAGCAAAGGAACATTATATATTCCAAGAAAATTGTGCCAAATAATATAAGAAAAAGAAAATGATATGACCAAACAAGATCATCAGTCAGCTTCTATCCGAAACAAAACAAAACATTGAGAAAAAGAATATATAGAACGCATAAATTTGCTTACTGTCCTAATCCCTTCAAATGAGATTCCATTGAAAAGAAAATCGATATCTTTCATTTGCAACTTGCTTCCGTAAATCAAGTGGGAACCAGTGTTTTATTTAATTTAAATGTGGAATATTATAATAATAAGAATGGCATACACTTATATTTCTTTAAAAAAAGAAAGAATTAGTTAAGAATTTCTAAGAAAATTCGGAACGAAGCGAGCTTGGTCTAAGATTTTAATGTTATTTGTTCCGTGTTTTAATTGTTTTAGTGTCGGCACGAAAATTGTTGTCTTCATTGAATTATTTAAAGGAAAATAAGGACAAGAAATTGGGTGAGATTGGTCGTTTTTTAATACAAAGTTTTCATTCTCATGCATTACTTTGACAGAGACTGATGGAAAAACAATATTATTTTTTATATCTATCATTAAATTTATTATTACTCATAAGTTTAAGTTCTTCCCGTTCATGGAAATTTAACCATATTTTTTTAATAATTAGGAGTCGGAGTTTTACTCTCCTGTACACAGGGACACCCATACTTGTCCCAAAGCTCGGACTCGAAAGACATCCAAAATTTTTTATATTAAACTCATCAAAAGATTCGAACTTTTGAGACCTCTAAACCAATATAACCAATAGGCCATAAAATCAACGGAGTATGTGGTCTTGTATCAAAACACAAGGGGTCTTGTATTCAAATCTTTGTATTTTTATTTTCTTCCTATTTAATATTAATTTCCACGTGTTGCATTCGGGGTTGTTAAGTTTGGTTTTGGGCCTTTTTCTTTTTTTCTTATAAATA